TCTTAAGGTTATCTCTAACAAGCAGAGACCTTCCCTGATATGCAGGCAATGAACACAAATGTAGACAAAAGGATACTTTTTCCATTTGACTGATGAAAAATAAAGGTTAAGAGAAATTATTTATTTGCCCATGTTCCCAAAGCCAGTGCATTTCTGGGCCAGGGTTTCTATCTTGGCCTATGGGATTCCAGAGTTCCTGCTGCCTTTTTACATGGGGGCTGAAGGGATAGCGGCCGTTTCAAACCAGTGAGAACTTCCCTGCGAGCCCTGGGCTGCTTTGGATCCTATCCACTCCTGGAACTTAAAAGCCTCCCTGTGGTTGTATCTTTATCCTACACCTCTCCTGGGTCCTAGCGGGCAGCGCAGGAGATGCTCGGCTCCTCATTCTAGAACTGTGTTCAGTATCAAGCCCAAAGGTGGACCTGGCCTTGGACCTCGGGCAGTTTGCCTAAGACCCCTATCCTTAGCCATTGTGCTGTAAAACTATGAGTTTGACAGGACTTGTAGGAGAGTCAGGATGCTGTATTAAGAGCCAAGACCCTGGAGCTAGACAGCCTGCATTTGATTTAGCCTATTGACGAATTAATTTATCAGTTGCATATAGATTTTAGCCCCTCTGTACCTCATCTGTAAAACAACAGTACCTACCTCATGGGGCATTTGCAAAGATTAAAAGTGTAAATTTTTACAAAGTGCTTAGAATGTTTCCTGGAATATAGTAAGCACTATATAAATGTTGGCTATTAATAATAACAATAACTCCATTATTGTTATTATTACTATTATTATCCTCACCTCATATGAATTATAGCCTTCTGGAAGAGAAGACTGGAATTACTAAACTCTTAAAAGCTAGGTCCAGTTTCCAAGACTGAATCAATGGGTAGATCCAAACCACATCTCTAATAGCTCGCTGCCTAACAATTTTCCTATTCTCGTTAAAAAGTAATTGCGGAATCAGACACCTCATGTTTCCTTTATCTCCTAAAATCCTCTGGTTGTTCCTGGGATTATCAAACCAGTCCTTTTCAACCTAATTGCAGTCTCAATAATGGGCCAGATGTGTATGGTAAGTCCTACTCATGGCTGTGTCAATTGCTCCACTCTATTTATGAAGCTTCCATAGCAGCTTCATTATTTATCCCCTAGCCCAACACAATTTGGCTTGTGTGCTTGTGTTTTAAACTGGGCTTGAAGCATTTAATTTTGCCAATACAATTTTAGAGTATTAGTTTGCCTCCTGTTCTCTCTCTGCCCTCCTTAATTACCATTTATTGCAAAGTCACACAGAAACATTAAATGCTAATTCTGACTTACATGTTCCTGGCCAAGAACAGGGATAATAATTTCCATCCAACACAACCTGAACTCATTTTACATAAGGGTGATTCAGAGTAGAGATTTGAAATCGTAATCAAGTCTTTCTCAAAATCGCCTTACCCTGGCAGTCATTCAGTAATGTCTCTGCTAATTGGTAGGCAAATTGCAAAAAACAAAATCTCAGTGTTACAAAAAAAGCACACACAAAAAGTGACAACTTTGCAACAGCATTCGCGAAATTGCTCTTCTCATCAGCTCTCACAATGTGACAGTTTAAGAAGAGAACACAATTCATTTTATTTGGTTAGATGGGGCTAATCCAACATCACCATAATCCCTCCTGATGTTTTATTGATTCTAAAGGACATTTAATCAGGAAGCAGCTCAGCACTAGAATCCTGCTAATTAGCAAGCAACCACATTCCAAATGGGTTCCCAATTGAACAGCAGATTAATGGACAATATGTACTAAAATAATGATTCGTGCATTCAGCTCCTGAAATGTGTGTCTAAATTACATCTTTAATCTCTTAAAGATATAGGTTTGCATACAAAGCCCTTAACGGAATGGATTTCATTCACCAGAAGAAGCTTTAGCCAATGTCTGTTTAAGGATGAAACAGGTTTATCACTTAAACATGCAATTCTTCAGTGGTTTCATGGTCTTAATGTCCTTGAACATTCAAAGGTCAAAGACAGGTGAATAAAGAAATTAGCGTGCTTCTCTGATATGCACATTAAACAAGGGGAAAGTGAAAATACTGATATAAGTAGCTTAACCTAATTTGTTCCCTATTCACTCTTATTCTAATATCTCTGATTCTTAGAATCTTGGTTCTGAACACAGTCTTCTAATGAACTGTATTTTAATACCTGGTATAATGTGATCTTTGATACTTGTATGTTCTCCTTTTATATTGTTGCCTTTTGGAACCTGCCAATTTCATCTTCCTGGTTTTCTACTTGACTGTTAGTCCACTTCTCCGCTTTTGCTGTTTAACCACATCCATCCACCCTCACACAACCACACCACAAGGTTTCAGAGTAGGGAAACTTCCAAGCCTAAAGCTAGTCTGGCAGAAATTCTTTGACTAAACTCAACATTCTATCATCGTTTATTTATCACTTGAGGTTTCCCATAACCTTTAGCCTTCTTTGTTTTTCTGTATTGTTCTTACCACCATGTGGTAGGCCACATACTCTAGCTTGTTCTTCTTCCTCATTAGAATACAAGCTTCGAGGGAAAGGGCTTTGTATTATTCCTATCTATATTTCCAATGACTAGAATAGTGATTGGTGTACAGCAGGCACTCAATGAATGTGTGTTAAATAGATAAGTTAATGAATTAATCAATATTTACTGTGTACCTACCATGTGCTGGATACCAGCCTACAAGATGTTGAGAGTAAAGTGTGTGGGGAACCAGTCATGTTTTTTGCTAGCATGGAGATCACTATCTAGTCATTAAACTAACAAATCCCACAAATAAATACGACATCACAAATAGTGATAAAGGCTAGGAAATATATTGACAAGGGGCCTGATTTTGATGAGGTAGTTAGAGAAGTCCTTCAATTTGACCATGAGCTAGAAAGTAGGCAGGATTCATGTATCTGTATCCTTAAAAGTATCTTTGAGACTATTCCTTTTCTAGTTCAGTACAATACCATATTTATTGAATGCCTACTGTGTGCCTTGCACTGCTCTAGCCCTTTGGGATACATCAGTGAATAAAATAAAGATCCTGCCTGCCCAATAACACTATAGTCTACAATCGGTCAGAAATCAACGACAACAACAAAAACAATAAACATCATATAACGGGAAATCATCAAATGCATTAGAAATTGATAATTATATAGAAGAGTACAAGACAAAAGCAGGTTAAGGGTAAGAATGGGTGGGAACTACAACTTTAAAGGGTGGTTAGTCTAGGCTTCATCGAGAAGGTGACATTTGAGCAAAAACTTAAAAAGTGAAGGAATTAGCATGAAGATATTTGGGGAAAAACATTTGAGGTAGGGGAAATATTTGGAGGATGGGTGCTAAGGTGGATGTGTGTGGTATGTTAGAGGAAGACAACTAGGACAGTGTGACTGAAAGATAATGAACAAAGAAAGTTGTAGATGGATCCAGAGAAGTGGGGGGGGGGGTGGAGAAGAGCATGTAGAACACATTTATACAGACTTTGATTTTTTTTACCTCTTCATAAAATAAGATGCTCTTTCAGTGTTATGAGCAGAACCATGACATGAGCTATTTTAGGTTTTAATAAGTCACTGTAGCTGCTGGATTGAGGATAAACTGAGGACAGGGATAAGAGTGTTCAGTTAAAAGCTATTAATAGTAATCAAGGAGAAAGGTGATGGTAGCTTGGATGGGATGTAATTAAGTAACAAGAGAAGTGGTGAGCAATGACCAGGTTCTGGACATATTTTGAACAAAGAGTTGATTTACTAATGGATTACTGATGAATTGGAGATGAAATGTGAGAAAAGGGAAAGCCAAGGATTACTGGTATGTTGTGTTTTCATTTTAATTCAGCTCAACACATGTTATAATTTCCCTTGTGATTTATTCTTTGACCACAGGTTACTTAAAATTATATTATTAGACTAGGGTTATTGGTTTTGGCTCTCTTTTTATATATTCCATATCTCTTATTGTGTTCATGCTTTTATGAGCATGTAAAGTGTGTTTATAATTGCTCTTTTTACACTATTTCTAGCATCTCTGTTAATGAATTTGCTTCAACTAATTGGTGTTTCTCCTAATAAGAGATTATACCTTTCCATCTTTTCATGCCTGCTAATTCTTTATGAATGCCAGATATTGTAAATTTAATATTTTTATGTTTTTTAAATCCTTTGGAATTTTGAGGATTTTGTTCTTGGGTGCAGTTAAGTTAGAAACAGTTTGATCATTTTAAACTTTATTAGGGCTTGTAAAATTTGTTAAATTTCTGGGGTGATTTGGCCTCACTCCAGCACAATATCCTGCTGAGGACTCTGCTCAGTGCCACATGTGTTCCTGCCTGGTTTGTGAAAATAGGAACTATTCCTGACACTGCGTGAGATCCAAGCATTTTTCCAATTCTTTCTTTTGATTTTTCTTCCTCTGTACTTGGGTAGGTTTATCAAATGCATACATTGGCCAGTACTCACATGAAGACGCTAGGGCAACTCTTTAGAAAACTCCTGAAAGAAGTCTGAAGGGATCTCTCCCCTTGCTACTCTGTACTGTGCATTCTAGCCTCCTCGGCTTTTCTGAACCCTGCAGTCTATCTCTGTAGCTCAGGAGAATGCTTCACTAAGTTTGGATCCTCCATTCTTGCTGAACTTGCCTTGTTTTTTTTTTTTCCTCTCTCAAGAATCATTGCTCTGTGCTGCCTCTTGTGCAATGTCTGAAAACCATTATTTCATATACCTTGTCCTATTTTTTAGTTGTTTCACATAGAATGGTAAATCTGATTACTGATAGTCTATAATGGTTGGAAATAGAAGTTCACTGGTTTGGTTTTTCTATGGCTAAGAAGACTGGTTTTAATATAAGCAAACATTTCTTAACTCGGTCTTTCGGTGGTGAAATTCATTGTTTCACATGTAAAACTTCTAGATTAGAGACAGATCTCTGTGTTTGGCATCCCTTTAGAGGACTCGGTGAATAGAGATCAACTTACTTTATTTTGTTTTGGTGAGCCAAATCTTGATGGTTAAGCAATGTTTCCAGGAGGCTCAAAGTCACACATAATCCATGTTTCCCACATATAAGCCTGACCTATGAATAAGAAAGACTTTGACGTGTCACTGCAATGAAACTAAAATGAGAATTTCTGTTCCATAATTAGAATCTACATGGTTTTGACAAGGAATTAATACCCCAGAGTACACTGTATTAATGCCATTAGAATACCATTCAGGATAAGAATGTCTAAATGCTCAACAACAGCAAGTTTTTAGATGGTTGACATAGAAGTAGAGTTCATTGCCCTGAAGTCACTGAACTTTAAGATTCTCATCTTAAATTTTTATCAACCACAGAATTGGTAGTCAAGGCCTAGAAAGAGGGGATAATGGGGGTAAATGGGGAAGGGTTTCCACGTATAAAGGACACATGGACAAACAAAAGAGGGTGGGATGAAGGGTGTGAAGTGGGGCTGGCTGGGGTGGGGGGACAGTGGGGGAAATGGGGACAACTGTACTTGAACAACAATAAAAAATGTTCAAAAGAAAAAAAATGGCCTAGAAAGTACATACCCTTGTTACATAGGTAAATTGCAAAATGTTTTGTACATCTACTTTGATTTACAAAACAAGTTTGCTGTATTAGCATGGTTAATATTACTATCTGCATTTTGTATTTGAAGAAACCAAGATTTAGAGAGATTTAAGTAATTTCCTCTATGTCACCTAGTTAATAAATCATGGAACTTAGTCTAGAAACCAGATGCTCAATAAATTATTTGTTGGATGAATTAATGGTCACTGCAGTTTTCCATGTACTTAATATTTTCTTTATGTATGTGTGATTAGTTTTATTGTTAGCCTGTTTTACAGATGAGGAAACTAAGCCATCAAGAGGTTATATAGTTCACTTAAAATCAGACATCTCCAGGATTTGAACCGAGGCCTCCAGGCTCCAGGAGGGCTGATAGTTACCACTAGACCAGTAGTCCCTATTTTCTGAGTCTAGCTGACAAACCAGTTCAGTTCTCAAGTTGGTGTGTGCCTGGTACTTAGATTCAAACATGTCAAACTTTGGAGGTATGATGGAATATGCCATATGTTTAGCACAATGTTTAAGCATGTAGACTTCGGGGAAAAAAACAGGACTTATTCTGAGCACCAGATCTGGAGCCCGTGATCTGTGTGATCTTAGGAAGTTACTTAACCTTTCTATGCCTGGTTACTACTTTATTTACTAAATATGACTGGTGTTTTCTACTTCCCAGGATTCTGTGAAGATTACATGAGAAAATAAGCAGTTAGAATAGCGCCCAGGTTTTAGTAGACATTGGGTTAATATCTGTTGGATGAAGAAAAGAAGGAAGGGAGAAAAAGAGGGGAGAAAAAAGAGGAGAAAGAGAGAAGAGGAAAGAAAAGAAGTAGGAAGAGAAAACAAGAAAGAGGGAGAGAGGGAGACAGAATAGAAGGAAGGAAGGAAGGGAGGAAGGAAGGGAGGGAGGAAGGAAAAAGAAATATCTATTTTAGTGTTTCGGCTGAATAGTAGCTACTATTATTATTTTGGGAGCATTTTCAGTATAATATCTGCATCATGCACATCTGACACTTTGACATCTGGGGCCCTGCTGACTCTGGACAGGTTGCTCCTCCCAGAGCTAGCCAATTCCTAGATATACTAAAGGATTGGCTTGAAAGTGTGCCTTTCATATGCAAACCAACCACGTCCTTTATTGGAACTCACATACTTGCCACCGTTTCCCTGCACTTGTCACACCAGGGCCAAATACCAGATAAAATGGGACAGACCAGGTTCCAAATTACTCAATGTAGTCAGTTCTAAACTTGGTTACCTTGCCTTGACCATTCCATGATGAAGGCTCTTGCCCACATTTTCCCTGTATCCTTTCTGCCTCTTGATAGACCCTGGTGCTTTCCCATGTGGCCTGTGTGGTATGCTGTGCCCCCTCCTCTTGGGGAAAATGAGTAACAACTATTTTTTCAATGGTAATCATCTCTTGACCTGTTGGTCTAACCACACTTGAATAATAATAAAACCTAGACTTTAAAACAGTGGCAAAGAGACGCTTTTCATTTGTCTGTATGGAAGGAAACAAACAACAAATCTGGGTTTAAAACTTGCAAATATTTTTAGGTGTAGAGGAGTTATATCATTGAAGCTTAAAAGAGAAAAAAAGATCAATATGAAACATACAAAATGGCTAAGAGTTTGCCAGGAGATGAAGGGACTGGGGGAAGTTCTAGGCACAAGGCAAGCCTTGTCAATACAGGTGAGAAAGAGCACGGTGCTTCATAGAAGTTGCGTGTATTTTGACATTATTCACTCTACTATATTTTATATCCCCTCCCATGCTGGGCAATGATTATCTGTTTGTTAGAGCTTCTCTACAAGATAGTGGCTTACGGAGGACTGGAATGGTGTTTCATTTTCCTATCATTGCTGCCCAGCACATTGTTAAAAAATAAAAGTTCAATAATTAATGAATAAATGAGTACATGGATGAATGAGGAAGAGAATGAATGAGAATATACCGAAGAGTGGAGTGTGTATGGACAGGGGTTAGCAAAAAATAAATTTCAAGTGGTGGAAATTACTCACATTATATCATTTTACTCCATAAATAAGAATTGATTTAGTCCCATGATTATAGCATATTAATGCATTTTTAAATATCAGTATTAAAAGGTTATCCTAAAAACAGTTTATTTACCTCTGGCAATATTGAGTTTTGCTCAAGGCTAAAATGAGCAGCAGATCAGAAATAGTACATCAGGGTTCCTAGAAGCAGATTGATTGATAGCTGCTAAGGAATGACTGCTGCCGGTTGTGGAGGAGTAGTAGAAATTTCTACCAGAAAACCCTGGCAATTTAGTGTTATTCTGGGCTATTAAAATCCTGTAAAGGATGAATATTATAATGATGACTCTTGTTCAGTAAGAAAGTGATTGTGTGAAGTTTCTTCTATTTAATAAGGGATTTAAAAAAATCAAATGTAAATAAATTATTTATCTTATTTAGAAAATGGCATGTGAAGTAAATCTTCTCTTCCCCAAAATGCTCCTGGAAAGGGTGGTGCACAGATGCTCCCTCAACTTCCTTTTCTCCCATTTGTGGTTTCATTTGCATTTTACCCCATCATTGTATTTAAACTGTGTTTACAAAGTCACTGGTAACCTCCATGGTTTCAGAGTTAATGGATACTTGATACTTTTCAGTTCTAATTACACATGGTCCCTTCACTGCATGAGACAAGGCTGATCTCTTGGCTTTCTCAATCATTCCTGCATTCCTTTCCGTTATTTTTAGTCTCCTTTGTTAGCTTCTTTTTGTCTATTCCTTAACCACCAGTGCCTTCCTCAGCCTTCCCTTCTCACTTTTCATTTTGCCCTTAGTAATCCTAACTACTCTCATGGCTTCAACTCTGTATTGCAGATCCTTAAATCATTATATAGTTTTAATCTCTCAACCAAAATCAACATGTTCAAAACTGAACTTGTCATACCTTCTATATTCCTTCAAACTTTTCTCTTTCCTATCTCACCCCCATCCACCAAGTTGCCAAAGCCAGAACCTGGGAATCATTTTTGATTCTTCCTAATTCGGGGCCACATTCAATTAGTCATCATGGCCCGCTTTTGTACTTCCTTAATATCCCCTCCCTCCTGTCACTGCCCTGGCTGAAATCCTCTTAATTTCTTGCTTGAATTACTGGACCAGCCATCCAAAGGGTTTCTCTGCCTCTAATTCTCCATATTCTATTAGAGTGCTCTTTTTAAACTCCAAATTTGGTCACATCATTCACTTGTTTAATATCCTTTGATGATTCCTCTGTGCCTTCAGGATAAAATTCACACTCCATAGAAACTTCATAAATTAGGTCCTACTTGCCATTCTAGTGTCACCTTGAGCAGCACCTCCCACCGTCCCCAGCCACCGTATACTCACTACGTTCTGCTCCTATGAATGACTTCCAGCTTCCTGATCTAACCATGCTCTCTCTCATTGCAGGGCCCTTTCTCATTGGTGCTGTTACCTAGAACACTGTTCTGATTTTTTGCCTCTGCTCCTTCCCCCAGTTCTCTGACAAGTTCACCTACCCTGTAAGATTCAGTATTGGTTGGCATCGTCTCTGTAGAATTTTTGGGCTAGGCTAGGTTGGTGCTTGTCTGTGTTCAAAATTACTGCTGTCACTTCATTTGTTACACAGAAATGTGACAACATGTTAAAAGGTTGCTTTTCTCTCAAGCTCCTGACTTGGTAATAGTCTGTTTTCCTCAGCCTTATCACAGTTCCCAAAACACACTGAGTGAATAACATGTTGAATGCAGGCATAGGATAAACATGCCATATTGATCAGAAAGACGGCTGTTGACCTGGGAAAAAGGAAGCAGAAATAATTTTATAGTTTTAGGGCAGAGTATACTGATATAGAAACAACCAAATACAAAAGAGGAGCTGAAAAACTGCAGAAGACTCTCTTACTAGTCACTAGGTACACCAGTGTCATAGCTGGAGTCTTGGAACAAACCTCACATTTGCAAACCCCAGGTTTACTCAGTAATGGGACTCCCTGTTGATGATAAGGAGGAAGTTGCATGAAAATGAAGCAGAGTAATTAGAAGTTCAGCCACCTGTGTTATAGCTAGCTCCTTCTGGGAGGACGGTCTGGGAATAGTTTGGGAGATACAGTGGAAAGAGAATGAGTCCAGGAGATGAAGAATACATATGGTATACAAAAAGGGTTAAACTGAGCCTGTGTGCTTGGAAGCTTCTTAGGTTCTACAGACCTATTGAATCTACTTGGGTAATGATCAGTAAGTAAGGTTAGTAAACATATGTGCTAAGGGATCCACACTGCCTCAGCAATCCTTCCAGAAGCCACCATTGCATCAAAGACGGGCTAGAAGAACAAGATGAGTGAGTTCATAGAATGAGGATGACAGGTAATTGATTTCATTGATTTGAATGACAAGACTGATATATTATCCTTCAAGACTGCATTTATGTATCTTAGAATCTATAGATTATTTGTGAACCCTCTGAAATAATGGCTTTGAATATGTGCCTCAGTCCCCCACTTCTGTCCAGCACAGGGTGCATAGATTTTACAAGAAACTGAAGGAGGTCTATGGTTCTTTGTACTGCACCCCAAAGAGATTTAGTACTGGACAAAAAGAAAACCCCTCTAACTCAGATGGCTCTGCCCAGGCCACTCTGAAGTCCTGTGTCCAAGAGCAAGGATGTTGAGCTGAAACTGCTGCTTCTTGTATCCACTGTCCCTTGGGCCTCAATTTGTCTCACATTCTGGAGGAACAGAATTGTATTTTATATGCCTCCCAGAACTGTAATATACTTTGAGTGCGTTCCAGATGTCTTAAGAGATGCCAGATGGCTCATGAGAGGCAGACCAGCTTTCAGGAAAATGTGTCCCATTTCCTTGGAAATGAACCACAAATTTAAGCTTTTGGGACCAGCCATTGGGGGAGAAGGTCAAGGTCTGCTCTGATAGCCGGTCCTCTGATATCACACAGTGTGCTAAGTGCTTTCACACACTTATGTTGTTTAACATCAGAGGAGGTAGATATTTGGAACCCAGTTTCTCCAGATGAAAGTCTGAGACTCAAAGAATTTAAGGAAATTGACTTTGATTTTCAAGTCATTTATGTTCCATTCTGTCAGTATCATCTTCGAACATTCAGGCTTTAGTGATGGTGCTATATAGTTTCCAATAACAAAAAAAATTGATGCTTCTTAATCTATTTACTGATTGCACCCTGAATATAAAAATACCTATTTAGGACATGTGGAATCTCCTATAGAGTTCTGTCTCTTTTTCCAGTAAAACATGCTTGCAGGTGTAATAAACACACACACACACATACACTTTCATGAGCTTTGCCTTTGCACGCTTAGCTAACTCTATAAATTAAAGCACAGAGAAAGCTACTTCTGTGCTAGGATAAAGACCCACTTTTAGCATATTGTATCCTTGCTTCCTTAGTAAACATCACTTGTTCTTTTTTTAAAGATTTTATTTATTTATCTTTAGAGACAGGAAAAGGGCGAAAGAGAGGGAGAGAAACATCAGTGTGTGGTTGCCTCTCACATGCCCCCTGCTGAGGACCTGGCTCACAATCCAGGCATGTGCCCTGATTGGGAATTGAACTGGTGACCCTTTAGTTTGCAGGCCAGCACTCAATCCACTGAGTCACACCAGTTGGGGTCATCACTTGTTCTTTTAAATTCTCGGACTCTGAATTCTAACTCCCATTTACCTAGATGACAAGTATTTTTCAATCTTCCCGATGAGACTTAGCCATCTCCCTTCCCTGTAATTTTCAATTCCTTCTTCTTCTCTGGAATTCTACCTTTCATGCCCTGAGCCCAGTGGAATCTTCCAGGTATTTTCTGTCTAATGGTGTTCCATTTCTGGTTCCTAATTTCTAGTTTGTTTCTGTACTTTGAATCCTGTCTCTGCCATTTGCTAGCTGAGGCCCTTGGGTGGTGACTCAAATGGCCTCTCTGAGACTTAGCTTTTAAGATTTATTAAGTGTGTATTATAACAACTACTTAGATTTTGTAGTTATTTTGTAAGTGGTAGATGAGATGATGTAAGTAAAGCATTCAGCACAATACTTAGTGAGACCTCAGGAAAGCTTGGTGTTGATGAGTTGTTAATAGAATTATAGTATTAGTGGTAATTATTATTTTGCCTATATCCTGGGTAGCCTCCTGACTGGGGTTTGTGGTTCTGAATCTCCTTCCATGAAACGCATCAGCACTGTTAATTAATGCTCCAAAAAAGGACACCCTTCTCTGTCAGCAATATATCACATCAGTCTGATGTGCCTAAGAAATGGAACACCACATGCTGAACTCATGGAAGCTGGTAGAAGATGTGAGAAATGAACATTTGGCCTTGGCAAAAATATTTGTTTTTCACTATGTAATATAATTTGGGTAGTTTCATATTCTGTATTGTTAACATAAAACACAGCTCCATATAAGTAATTCCTGCAGCAATTCCGCACATTTATCAGTTCCTTTCCTTGTTTGTTTTTCTCCTCTCTAGCACAGAAAACAAAGAAACAAAAAACTGTCTAATGTGATCCACAGGAAGAACCCGGAGCATAACTTTGGCTCCTTACTGTAGACCCAATGCTCTGAGGTGGACTTTTAGAGAGGAACAAATCCGAAGTCTAATTTTGGTTACCTTGGGTGGGGGCAGGTAGCCCAAGAATGAGTGATCTTCTTTTTGAAGACTCAGATTAAGGTTCTCTAGGCTGAGGTTGCCATTGGTTGTCCTCAGTGCCATCTTTAAGGTCTCCAATAGGCTCTTGTTCACTTCTGACTGTGAGTTGGAGTTTTGATGGCCAGTACTGCTTGGAGGGGTAGGGGAAAGTCTGTGAAAAGATGATCCACTTGAAGCTGCTGTGTATTTTCATACTATATCCCTCACCTCTGTTTTACACCGGGGACCAAGGATGCACCCAGTATAGCCTTCTCAATCTCAGCATCCGGGTCATAGGACTGCATGTAATGATTTCATAGAGTAACTCAAATCTCTTCCATTCTAGTGAGCACAACACTAGAGGAACCAACCCGTTCGACTAGAATGTAGCCCCAAATTTGTGATCTATTCCCTCTTTTCGCCAGGTTGATAGAAAAAATTAGAAGTGTTCATAGTAGTTTACTTTACCTGCTTGATCTTATTTTTATTTTTTTTTAAGCCCAGATAATCAAATTTCCAAACTGTGCATTGTCAAAAGCAAAGCAAAGCAAAGCAAAGCAAAGCAAAGCAAAGCAAAGCAAAGCAAAGCAGATCCCAGGGAGCCTATATAGGGAGAAATCTAGAACCAGGTAAACTTCTTGCATTATCCTTGACTCTGCTATTTGTATCTAGAAAACCCAGAAGAGTTTGGGAGTAATTATTTATTTATCGGATGGCATTCAAATGTATGTAATTAATTAAATGGTTTATCTAACTGACTTGTATTATTTTACAGAACAGGTGAAAATAGCAGCTTGATGGAGTATCATTTATTTTATGAAACTAGTTTGAGATATTTACTTTTTTATCAAATGTTTGTATCCTTCCAGATCTGGCCAAACTATTTTCTCTGCAGTGAAGCTCTTCCTAATTTCCATAGTCTCAGTTTAAGCACCACTTCCCTAGAGAGACATCCTTTGACATCCCCCAAACCCTATTCATGCAAATTAGTTTACTTGCAGTGGTGTCCTGGTAAATCTTTAACAACCAGCTCCTTAAGATAAAAGCCTGGATTTGGAGTATTACTGATTTTCGTGCTGTGAATACTCCCACCTGGCTGATTTAAAGCTACCAATATGTTGTCACTGAATGAGGAGTTGGGAACTGATGCACACAGTAGGCCCACAGGGTGCTCCAGCACCTCCTGCTTGATAAACTCTTTTATAGATCCTTGTTTTTTTCCTTTCTAAGTCTCCCTCATGTTGCAGTATCATTGTTATTTTCCTACTCATTGTTCATGTCTGACTCTCTTAGTAGATTGCTCCATAGGTGTGGTTGAGTTTGTTTTGTGCCTTACTATTCCTGGGAAATGCTATATAGAACCTGCAATTTGACCATTTTTAGATAATATTTAACTTTCTTAAAGGTCATATTGCATTTTCTTTTTGCTCTGTAATTCTTCCTTGAGCTTTGGCACCAAAGTATCAGAATTACTTAATAATAGCTAATATTTTTCCAAAAGTTTGGTACAAGAAAGGAGAAGTGGTTATATGTCTTTGTTTTGGTCACTCAGCTCTGCACATCTCTCCATCATTGTTCAGGGAGTTCCCCAGCTCAGGAGCCTGCCTCTCACTCCAGCAAAGGAAAATGCCAGCTATTTTCTTTATCAGCCTCTCCTTGCTGCTTGGGACATGTGACTTGGGTCTTGTCAGTCAGATGTATCTATATGTTCCAGATTCAAACCAGAAGTTTTTCTTCTTCTTTTCTTTCTTTGCAATGCCAGTTTCCGGGATTAGGAATTCATGAGGCCCTGGCCCCCATCTCTAAGCACCAATTACTGAATGGGCAGGTGTTGTATGGAACCCATTTGCCACAGCTGGTGGGGGTTCTTAGAAAACCTGCTGCAGGAGTTGATTTCATCTCATCCAACTTAAGTGATGAGGATTGTTGCCACTCCTGCTCCACTAGTGATGCTGGAGGCTTTTTAAGCATCACAGAGCTGCCTCATTAAAAGCTCTACCTGACAGGGCATGACAGAGGACATTGTCCTGAGCAGCACATTAATTAACAAAGAGCCTGGATTCATTACAAGCCATTAGTCCTGCACTTCTACACACACACTGTCTGGTTTCTATAAAGCAGCACCTTCTCCGATGAGTTCAAACTGATCTCTTTATGCACCTTTTTTATGGGGTAGATATCCAGATGTCCCTGCACGTGAAGTGATGCAAGCTCTTTGGATAATTGGAGGTGCCAATTACATTCAACAAATATTTATTGAGCATCTCCTGTGTGCCAGGAACTACACTAAATCTGTGCTAGACACTGAGTTGGGCGGGACAGACACAATTCCTAACTTCAAATGTCAAATAAGTAATTACAAGTAAAATGTCTGTTATGATGGGTAAAATCTGTGGAACCATATGACAAGGAGACATGACTTAGTCTAGACATGAATCCATGACTTTGGAGAGGCTTCCTGTCTAGGACCCATAAGACCCATATCTGCCAATGAGTGGCCAGGTTTTCTGGTACATAGTCTCTTACTTCTCAGGGCCCAAATCTCACAATCTGTATTATATGAAGTGTGGTTGCTGATGATTAAAAATTTATAGGGCTTTATGGCTATCAGTAGGACAGTTCCTCCCAGAATGATGTTTGTCTGGCATGTCTGCATGGTGGCATCACTTTCTTTGGACTGTAAGCCCTTGAAGGAGTGACTGGAACTTGCCTACCTCTGAATCCACTGTGCCCAGCAAGTGTGTCTGGCAAGCTGCTGGTATTCAGTGAGCATTCATTGAATGAGGTATCAGAGTCAAAAAGGACACACGCTGGGGGCGACTTGGCCCAGGGACATTTGTACAGAGTACCCTACCTCTTTCTTAAAGTAAAGAGGTAACTTCCTATTGCATGGCTCTTAGTCAAGATGTCATATTCTTTGCAAACAAAAAGAGTATCTTCTGGAAGGACAGTTGGAAAATAGTAACAGACACTTATATAGCACTTACTATGTACCAGGGCCTTCTTAAGACCTTTGCATTGATTAACTCAGTCACTGGTACAAATCTCTGGAGTTAGGTGAAGTCTATTATCATTCCCATTTTACAGTTAGGGAATGGAAGCACAGAGAGGGTAAGTGACTGGCCCAAGGTTACAGAGCCACTTAGTGTCAGAAGCAGGAATTGAGCCCAGGCTTCTGGCAAAGGGGTCATGCTCCTAACCACTGCATTGTGTCTTTTTCCTTGGACAATGCAAAAATTATTATGCTTTACTGTGTCTCATCTGTGGTGATATTCTTCACATCCTATTTTTATTTTAATAATTTCTTTCCCCTGAGTTTATATGAAGGGATTATTGATTTCTATACCTCAACTTTTCTGTGCTGATACCGGTAGCCCAGGAGGTCACTGACCGAACATATTTCTGGAATCACACTCCAGATGAGTTCTGCTCTAGTATAGAATCATTTCTTATTTCATAATGAGGTTTCTCATTTTTATATGGCATCCTCATAAAAACAACACTGCTTGATGTTAAGGAGCATATGCAATTGTTGCAAATAATTTGCTATGCCGACCTATACACAACATAGAGAGAGAAAACTATAAGCATAAGCCAAGTGTGTTGATGAACAGTATGTTTCTGCATGAGGTGCGCTTTTAGAGCAAATGCCCTTCAAGGGTCCTGCCAGCACTGGAAGCCTAGGAATACTATGCCTACAAAAGGGAAGGAGGTACCCTTTGCTATGACGGTTTCCACCCTCAGCTTTGCTCGGGGTGCTGTCCACAACTCTCTTGCTTTCCAGTGAGTCATGTGAAGCTGCAAGTTTTAAAAAACAGAGTAGCTCTTCATAGTTCACCTGAAAATTAAATATAAAACAGAACATCCTCATCTAATTTTACATGGAAGGAAAAGAGGCCTGCCGAAATAAAATGTGTTTGAAATCTTTTACCATTAAAAGTATTTAAAGCAGCACTAAATATTCCTATTATTGCCCCTGCTGGACAAATGGTAAAACCGCACTTCCTGGTATCCTTGTGTTTGGGTAGGACCACGTGCCCAGTTCTGGCCACATGACATGTAAGCAGATGGAACATGTGCCACTTCCAGGTTGATGACGGAACTGCTGACATGAGCCCTTCCAGAGCTCTCTTTATTTCCTTCTCCCATGTGTCCAGAAATGTTCCAGAGGGTCTGCTTCATCATCTTGGGTTTGGAGTGAAGATAATGACAATACTGACAAGAGCCTATGGCTAACTCATTATGGAAATATAATGTCAATGAAAAATAAGCTTTATTGTTTTAAGCAACTGAGATTTGGGGGCTGTTAGTTACTACATCATAATCTAGTCTCTAGCCTATCTTTTTATCTCTCACATTTCTTGTGTATTTATTATAACTAATATATGCTTATATTTAGACATAGTCGACAGATATATTCAGATTATTGAGGACTAGGCCTTAGTTACTAAGCTAAGTGAAAAAATCTGAAAGGTTTTTAAATTTTTTTTTTTTTACATAGGACAGAACTGAAGAAATGTCCATTTCCATTGCTGAGCTGGTTGATGTCCCAGGGATTGTAATGGGTAGTCAGCTTCAGGTCAGTGGAGGGGGTAGGAATGGAGGAAAGAAGCTGGATAGAGTCCCTGATGTAAACTGTGTTTCAGACCAGAAAATATGATTGAACTAAAGAGTCATAGAGGTTTTATTAGTAAGTAGTCACTGTATTGCTCAACACTTCTCATAAATTTTCTTCTTTTCAGAAGAAAAGAAGCAAATCATTTCAGCACACACTCTGTTAGGACGCTCCTTATGGTAGGCATATCATCTGTCTTTTACAAAATAACTTTTGACTATATGAGAAGTCAGAATAACATATTTTAGAGACCATTAGATTTGGGAGGAGGAAAGTGGGAGGAAGATGAGAAGTTCAGTTGAGACTTTTGAGGTTTTGCTGTGAACGACCCAGGAAAGCTTCCTGGAAAGCCACTTAGATTTATGGAGTCTGGTGTCCACCAGTCTATCCTCAGATTGTCTTATTATCCGCTCCACCTCAAAATATATGGTCAACAAATAATACCCCTTCATCCACAATAGAAAACAACTCATGTGCTCTCAGTATACACACCTCAGATTTGTCAGAGCCCCTATTTGCCATTTGTTCCCAGGACCAGTCTCTAAGTTTTCTCCTGGGGAGGCCATAGATATAGGACAGGGACTGGTCTCCAGTTGGTACAGAGCTGCAATGGACAGTTGCCTGGTTGGGAGTTTTCAAGAAACAAGGACAAATGGTAATAAGTCTCAGAAGGGAAGAGGAGAAGAGAAAGAGAAAAGAAGAGAGTATGAGTGAGCCAACCAATTCCTTAAAATATATTCCCAGTTCCAGATGACTTTAGCCCATGCAGTCACTGGGCTATTGAGCCCCAAAGAAGAAAGTTTGCCTCAGTGTCATTCATCTTCAGCATTATGTAATTAACAAGGATTTGATAAATATATTAATAATTAGATACCATTTCATTGGTATAAGAAAGAAGGTATTTGTATAGAGAGAAAAATTAGGTCAAACATAAAGTGTTTATCAGCAAAGTAAGGTTCTTGTTAGAAATAAGGGCATCCTCAGGTTCTTTTAATTAGCAAATTTAGAAGGGAAAGCAAAGGCAATTGAGAGCTTTGTCAAGAATGGACTAGCAGGGGTTAAATAGCCCAGATCATTGCATCCCAAGAATGATGTTTTTGAAGGTTACAATAGAATAAATAATGGAACAGGAGAGAATGATAAAAATCCTATTCCCTCCTGCCCTGGAATATGGTATATTAACCACGTTTTTATTTTCTGTATTTTATGATGGTTTGACATCCTAAAGGGCCTGGCTGGCTGGAGAGACTGTTCTTACCAGGCCTAACTAATTTCTAGAGAGAGTGAACAGCTGCCTGCTAACACACACTTCATATGCAAACCAACCAGGCCTGAGTCCATATCCCTAATGACCTCCTTTAGCTAACTAACCGTCACACACAAATCCAATATTCCCCTGCCTGAAATCAACCCAGGTCTGTACACCAGACAACTAGGGACTTATACCCAAAGCCCACTCAGCTCATTTAAATCAGCCAGTCCTAATTTGCTTACTCTCCCTTGCCTTTCTCATGGAAACCCTGATAAAGGCTGTGGTCTGTGTTTCACCCTCATGTTCTCCTACCTCCTGACTGACCTTGTTGCTTCCCCAGGTGGCCTTGCATGGTGTGGTATGACCTTCTCTCATGGAAAACATATATAATAAATTCTTCTGTCAAAGGCAGTTGTCTCTATATCTGTCACCTTGCCATACCTGATTAAAATAAAATCCCAGGTACAAATCAAGGTACATGGTAATTTTTAATATCAGGTCATTGAAAGGAGCCATTATCAGAAGGATTCACCGAAAATTGAGTGTCTGTATGCAATCAAAAGTCCTGTTGAATAACCTATCAGTATGAATAGCCACCTACAGGTGCTTAATAGTCATGAAGCATTTCAAAGAAAATCAAGATCTCTTTAGAATGGGCAGAGTGAGCAGGAGTGGCAGAGAGTTCTAGAACAGGCATAAAAGTGATAAAACATTTATGGGGCACATAGTCTGTATAGATACCATATAGGTGCTTTGTTTATGTCATTCAGTTTAATCCTTAGCACTATCCTATAAAATAGATACTATAGCACCCTTTTATATTTTGATAGCCAAGCATTGCAGAAATTAAGTCACTTTATTTCTTCATTTAAGAAATAATTATGGTTTACCTAGTCTGGATGAAGGTCACAGTGAAGGTCACAGTGTAGGTTACAGACCTACAGTGAACAAAACAGACCCAGCCTCTGCTCTCACAGAGCTGGCGGATAGTAAGAGGCACAGCAAACACATATGACAGCAGAACCTGCAGTGCAGGCCACAGGCAGATCAGTCCAGGGAGTCACCTAGTCTGGACTTGGTGGTCCAGGTCTGGAAGCAATGACATTTAAGTCTAGGCTCGAAAGGTGAGTTACACATGGATTTGAATAGACTGAGTGGTGAGGGAGGAGAAGGAGAGAAGGAAGAGTACAGGAGAAGGAAACTAAATATTGAAAATCTCATAGGTGCACACAGGTGCATAACAGAGAGAGATGGATGCATTCAGAGCCTAGTTGAAGTCAAAATTGTCCAGACTTGGTTCCCTTGTAAGTTGTGCTGATGAGGTTCGAACTCTGCATTTCACCACTACCCTAGGATGAGAGAGATTCCACATTCAGTCCACAGAGCACTTTCATTCTGTAAAATATTTGGTGAGGTATTTCAGACGTGGTGTTCAGAACAATATGTTTCTTTGAAACGTGAGAGTATGAGTAACAAAATATATCCATTTTTGCCACATATATATTTTTTGCCTTTGAGAATTTGCTATACTTTTGTAATATTCTAAAGAAGTGTTTATCAATACTTCATCATTCCAATGGGGTGAAGGTGTTCTTTAGCCCCTCTCATTTAAACACCAAAATTTATTGAGTATCTTTATTTTCATCACTATTGGTTCAAGTGAACACAGCAGGTATAATTCTTGCCCCCAAAATCTTTTGGCCTAGACATCACTGACTAAATTTTATGGTCTCCTCCATTAAAGAGGAAAATATTTATCCCTGGACTGGTATGAAGAATGTGTTACAATGTCTTTTAAACATTTTATAAATTCTAAAACTATACTGTGTATTCATTTGTTATTTTTATGTACTTCCCTTCAATATGCTGTAGACTCCATGTGGGCCAGGGCTCTGTGTTTTGCTGACTCTCAGCCAGGACCAAATTTGAACAAGTGGAGAAACAGTGTCAGAATGTTGATGATGTCTTTCTTATTCAGGCTAAGTGCATGTGGGGTTTCATATTTATCCCTTCACTAATATGAATCATCTTGGCTCTCATTTTTTAAAAGCCAAGGGTGTCCCCAAAGTGTCAATGAAAATATAATGGGAAATTCTCATCAAGAATCACCATGTTTCATGTTGCCAGAGTACCTACAAAATATTTGATGCTGTAGGTTTCTCTTATTTACTTTACTTTGAATCACAAAACACTACTTGGGGATATCACATAGCCTGAAATGACTCCTGAGCAATGCTGGTTTTATGTTATTTGCTTAAAAGAGTTGGGACGAATGTAGCACATAAATTTAACACAGATGTAGTAACTCTTCTTGGGGTATTGGAATTTGTAAGTGTTGCAAGTATAAACAAGGTTTTTTAAAAAATTTTGGATTGTTTTTAAATAAAACCATTTTAAAATAGTTATATTGTAGTAGGTTGACCAAAAAGTTCATTTAGTTTTTTTCATGAAATAAAAGACACATTTTTTATTTTCACCAATAACTTTATTGATTTGGATATTTTGAGTATGTTGGCTATCTCCTACTATTGGCATGCAGTGGGAAGAGGCCAAGGATGCTGTTAAATATCTTCCAATGCATAAGACAGTCTTACAGCAAAGAATTATTTGGCCAAAATGTCAATAGTACCAAGAAACTTTGCAAACCATTCTTGACATGTTTGATTAGTCACAGCACTTTCTCCACACACTGCAAAAATCTTTTTTGCATTTCAGTTCTGTGTTTACCTTTCTTGAAAGAATAAAACATAATATATCCAAAATGTATATTTTCTTTCATCTTCAACATTAAAATGGCTGCACAAAATACACCAATTTTGATGTTTTTTTAATGCACACTGATATGACAGCTGTCACAATACAATCTAACAAAATTGTTTTGAATAAAGTTAAAGACAGCTAAATGCTATTAGAGCCATCATATGAAAAAAACTAAATGAACTTTTTGGCCAACCCAATAGAAGTTATGAAAATTTGCAGGTACCATCAAATAAATAATTGAAAAGTCCTATTCCTTCTACAATGCATGTTATTCCACTGTATACATATAAATTTTGTTTACCCATTCAACTGTTGATGGACATTTGGGTTGCTTCCATATTTTAGTTACTGTCTAATGCTGCTATGAACTTGGGTGTAAAGAAATATCTCCTCGAAAGCCTTCTTTCAGTTCTTTTGGCTGTATACCCAAAAGTGGAATAGTGGTATCTATTTTTAATTTTAATGGTACTTTTATTTTCAATTTTTGAGAAACCACCATACTGCTTTCTGCAGTGGTTCTTACCATTTTGCATTCCTGCCAAGAGATTTTCTTCACATCCTTAGTAACATTTGTTATTTTCTATTCTTGTTTTCTTTTTTAAATTTTATTTTAATTGTTGTTCAAGTACAGTTTTCTGCATTTTACTACCATCCCAGCCCACCCTCTCCCCATCCCTCCCCACCTCCCTCCCATTTCCACCCCCTTGTAGTTTTTGTCCATGTGTCCTTTATATTTGTTCCTTTAAACCCTACCCCTTTGCCCCTAAAATTCCCTCCCCTCTCCCCTCTGGTCCATGTCAGCCTGTTCTCTATTTCAGTGTCTTTGGTTATATTTTGCCTGCTTGCTTGTTTTGTTGTTTAGGTTCCTGTTAAAGGTGAGATCATATGGTATTTGTCTTTCACTGCCTGGCTTATTTTGCTTAGCATAATGCTTTCCAGTTCCATCCATGCTATTTCAAAGGGTAGGAGCTCCTTCTTTCTTTCTGCTGCATAGAATTCCATTCTGTAAATGTACCATAGTTTTTAGATCCATTCAGTTACCAATGGGCACCTAGGTTGCTTCCAGCACTTGGCTATTGTAAATTATGCTGCTATGAAGATTGGGGTGCATAGATTCTTTTGGATTGGTGTTTCAGGGTTCTTAGGATGCAATCCTAGCACTGGAATTGCTGGGTCAAAAGGCAGATATATTTTTTAATTTTCTGACAAAATTCCATACTGTTTTCCATAGTGGTTGTACTGGTCTGCAATCCCACCAGCAATGAACTAGGGTTCCTGTTTCTCCACAACCTCTCCAACATTTGTTGTTTGTTGCTTTGTTTATGATGGCCATTTTGACCAGTGTAAAGTGGTAACTCGTTGTGGTTTTAATTTGCATCTCTCTGATAGCTAGTGATATTGAGCATCTTTTCATGTATCTCTGGATCCTCTGTATGTCCTCCTTGGAGAAGTGTCTGTTCAAGTCCTTTGCCCACTTTTTAATTGGGTTGCTTGCCTTCTTAGAGTGGAGTCGTGTAAGTTCTTTGTATATTTTGGAGATTAAACCCTTGTCTGAGGTATCATTGGCAAATATGTTTTCCCATACAGTTGGTTCTCCTTTTATTTCAAT